CTGCCTTTCCCATTGACTTTGCTTGTCAGAAGGTTGCAAAAAGTGATCATATGACCCTGGGACACAGCAACCAACATAAATGTAAACCAGATGTCAAGCTTCTGAGTTTTGATCACATGACCATGAGGATGCTGCAAAGATGGTAATTGTGAAAAGTGGTAATAAGTCACTAAGTGCCGTTGTAACTTTATTTAGTGCTGTTGTAACTTTGAACGGTCACTAAGTGAGCTGTTGTAAATCAAGGATTACCAGTACTCTGTCTGGTTTGCATGTTCTGAGGGATCAGACAACAGTAGCAAAGAGACCGAAAAGTAAGACTGGGGGGAACCTCAATAGATGGCCTACAATGCTGACTTTTAATGCTGTCTTTCAGGATTAAATTTAGAGGAACTCAAGAACTCAGAGTAACAAGGTATTTTATGCAGTGGTTTACTTGCGGCTTTGCAGTATGAATACAGATGCTGTGATTCGTCAACCACAATTTATAACTCTGTGCATTATGAGAACCCAGGTAACTGTGGTTTAATCAAAAAAGCAAATAAAACATGGTTTAAAATGAACTGTGACTGCAGTCACTAATTTACATTGAATAATAATAATCCCTAATAATAATGGATACATGGAGGATTTACATATAACTTTAGTGATATGCGAGTAACTTTGGGAATGGAAATTTCAATCTGTCAAGACCTGACATGAGAGTTCAACTGCTACAGAAGCTCGAGAATTTAATTTTTGAAAAAAGAAAATTTAATTATTTTTTGCAAAATAATGGAAATTATTTTGATAATACAGGTTTCCACATATATTTACTCAAAACACTAGATTCTATTAATAAAGTAATTTTCTGCTGAACAAGAATTCCTGAATTTTTTTAAACAGGTAAATTACATGTGACTTTAAATACTAAAAAAATACGCAAAAATATTTAGAAACACTGGAGAACTTTCTCATGTTTTTCTTATAGACAGTCAGTTATAGCACTTTGCATAAAAGTGATGATCTGAACTGCAAAAATTCAGCGGAACATTATTTCTGTTTTAAATGTTTAAACCACCAACTGTAAATTAAAGGTTTCACAGAAGGTAAGAAAAAGTTAAAAATCATTTATTAACATTTATATTTTGCTACACCACAGATTGTTTCACACTAAAGTAACATTTCATTCATTTTTTCACATCAGAAATCATAACATGATGAACATATTAAAGTCATTATTGCAATAGCCCCTCCATAGTAGATATTACCTTTTCTCAAGGATATAAGATTTGTTTAATTCAAAGTACTGCAGAACAACGAAAATATATGATTTCTGAACAGTACAGGAAACCCAAATCATATTTGCACTCAGTCAGAATCTTAAAGGAAAGACTGTTGAAGTCTTTCTTTTGAATATTTTATTTTACAAATAACTGGCAATATTACAACTGGAATCTGCTTGAAATGTATTTTACATTAATACGGCTATGTAACCTTGGACAATGTACCCTTTTCAACCTTACCTACTTCACACTTTTTTACGCAATATAAAAGAGAATATCCTTACTTGTGTATCTCATGTATCTCAATACCAGAATAGCCAAAGTAGGTAAATTCAAGGCTAAGAACAGCACAATGCAGTCTTCATTATTCCAGCAAAGTTTTAATATTAGCATGGCAGTAGTCCAATTCTCTCTCATATACAAACAAAAATCACACTCCAAATGCAGAATTGTTTTCAGGTGCAACCATATTTATCATATTTGCTTTATTTCCCTGATAGCAATCCTCTGGATTAACAACTGATACTCTGATCTGCTGGAATTTATCCCAGAATAAAATCCAATCCTAATCTAATATTTTATAATTACAGTTGCTAGTTCCCTAGCACCACTTTACCCAATGAATATTTTGTATCTGTAAACAACAGAGTATTATTTCTGTAGGAAAAACGCATATTATCTTGGACTATCACACATTAACTACCTTAGATTTAAATCAACTCACACACTTAGCAGCCAAAGAGTAAATATGTATTAATTTAGCAATGTACATATATATTAGCCAGATAATCTCCAATACACAAAGTTGTACCAGTAATTGTAGCTGAATCAACGTGGTTGAAGTATATTATCCAATATTAATATTTAAGCTATGACATCATGAACATGGTCTGCTATAGGCAAGACAAGGTTAAACTTGACCAAATACATGAAGACTCAGTTTTAATTTGTTCAGGATGTGAAAGGAAACTCCTTTGCTCACTCAAAAAGCAAGCATGCAGTAAGTATAAAGATGCTTGTAAATCTAGCTTCATTACTAAATGCCAAACTGCTTGTTTTTATGTAGAACTGATATCTAAGATTGTCTACTATAAGGTGCTTAATGGGATGGATGTCTTTGAAGAGAACTTCAAACTTCAGCTTGTGACTTCTAGGATCCACAGTTCAAATTATCTTCACCACTTTAATTTGGGTGACAATGGTTACTTGAAAAATCTTCACCCAAAGCAACTTGCCAACACTTACAATCTCAGAAAATGAACTAAACAAACTATGAGGGGAACAAATCAGGGAGTCCTTATCTTTTAAATTTCAGCATGTCCATTGAACAAGTAAGTATATATAGGTGGTGGGGGGGGTTACCCATCTCCTAGTATTTCAGTACATGTTTGCATTAAGTTTAATATTTGGGATCAGTGTTTTCATTTTTAGGTGTTGGTTTTATTCCTTCTGTTTTATCTTAAACTCTATGTGTGGGTTTTCTTTTGAAAACAACTTGGAAGCCTCAGCTACCTCTAAAATATGATTTCCAGAATATTAAGCAATAATTTTAAAAGGATTGCACTGCTGCTTATTCACTGGTAACCATTTTAAAAGCTTATCTCCTAAATCCCAAATGATTTAAGATCCAAACAGTTCCCCAAGTCAGTCCAAAACTTTTACTTAAAAAAAATTAAGATTCATTCTCCACTGGGCATGAACTAAGCAAAAAGAAACGCCTTCAGTTCTTTTTGGCACCAAGTTGTCTACTGACTAAAAGGGGCATATATATATATATATATTTTCACTAATACAAATATGTAAATTTATGGGTTTCCCCCCCAATTTACGAAGTTGAGTGGGAGCAGTTTACATGTAGCTCCAAATAACTTCTCACCCAGACCCAATACAGTCCAGCCCCATCAATGTTACTCTTAGGTTACCTTGAATTGAGGCATAGGCCTCGATTGCAATCCGGTGAACATTTTCTGGCAATAAATCTTTCTGAACGTAATGAGTCTGATTTGGCTCTTCCGTGTACAGTAATCTCCAACAAAATCTGATGTCAGAAATTCCTGTCTAGTATCTTTCTGAAGTATACACTTTCCCTTTCCTTTATTGTGGTGCCAACACACTTGCGCTTCCAGGTTTCTTTGTGTCACCTCTCAAGACTTGCACCACCCAAAAGCAATTTACTCCACCACAATCTACCAGGGGAACCAGTTTAAGTTTCCTTTGACTTTTGTCAACTTCAGAACAGCATTTCCCCAACTCAATCGCTTCACACCAAGTTTTCCCACCCCTTTAATTGAACTGAATCCAATAGGCCATCTCATCTGCCTTTTTCATTCTGCTTCAGCCCAAGCTGAAGGGGAAAAAAAGCAAAAAGACAGAAACTCTCAGGGATATGTAATAAGGCCTAGGCTAGACTGATTAGTTAAATGTTGCCAGTGTCTCATTTTGATCTTTAAAGATGCAAATCCAGGTGATATTTAGGACAACCCCACCTCCACACCCAAAGGGTTACCCTACAAGCTTTCCCCCCAAATCTCTGCAGACTCTCCCGCAGTCTGGGACAACAGCTAGCAAGTAAACAAGTTTGAAATCCTGGTTTGCTCCGACTGAAGCGTCCACTACTTCCAATGTCTCGATAAAAGAGGCCGAGGATGAAGAAGGGAGGACGAGGCCCGTTCGGATGCCTCCTGCAGCATAAAAATAGCGGGCAAGCGGGAAAAGCTGAGGGGATCCTAAAGAGGAGCCGAGGCGACAAAACAGACCAGCCTTGACGCCCTTCTCAACCCTTGAATTTTCCCGCCGGTGCTTAGCTAAAGTGTTCAGCCATCACCCCAGGGGCTGCAACGCCGCTGCCGGGCAGGCTTGCTCAGGGCACGTGCAGAGTATTTTCGCCCTGCAGCGGAGCACGATTGACTCTTAGGCGGCTCTTGGGGGAAAGGAGCCTTTCAAGGCAAAAAAGGCGCGGAGGGCAGGCCGGTTTGGGGATAAGGAAACCTCGCTCGTTGCAAGCACAGCGTCGGGCCACGGCTCTCGGATTCGGCCAACAAGTACCGGAGGTGGGGGGCGCTCGGGAATCACGGGATCGGGACAGACTGAAGCCTTCTGCGGCATCCCCGAGGGGTTTTCGTGCGGACTTGGTAGCAAAAAGAACCGCCTTCGTTACGAAGAAGAGAGCAAGGCACAAACCACGATCAAATGCAGGCCCTAAATGTTATGCCAGTTAATCCCTTGTTTGGGACGCGTCATTTGCAATCCCCCCCCTCCCATTTCCCCGGCTGCAAAGAAAACTATCTGCGTGGTGCTCAGAGATATTCTCACGTGCGCTTGACACGCCCGACCCTTCCTAGCATCCCAGGGAAGAATGAATCCAGCCTCCAAGTAGGCTTGAGCTCCAGAACTGGCCGTTCTTAGCAGACACGCAACTCTCGCTCCCCCCTCCACACATACACACACACACACACCTCTGCGTGCAACACGTTTATCTCAGTTGCTCGGAGGCCGAAGGGGCAGTACCCGTCGGGTGCCCCCACCCCACGCGAAAAGTCTCCTTTTTAAACCCAACCCAACCCACCCCCCAGAAACAAATCCCGCCGATTGAACCCACGGACGAACCGTCCCGAGCTGGAAGAAGGGCAAAGGAAGCCCGGGACCGCTCTCAATCCGGCAGAAGCGGAGTTTTCTCCGCCGGGGCATCTTTCAACCGCGGGAACAGGAGGCGGACGGGCTGGGCTGGGTTTGGCTTACCTGGCGCTGCGGGTTCGGCCAGGCTCCGGCTGTGCAGCCACAGGAGCAGCTGGAGCAGGAAAGGGCTCCTTTTCCAGCTGCCCGGATGGAGCCGCCGCTGCATTCCTGAGCCGGCTTCTCGTCCCTCCTCGCTACTCCAACATCCAGGAATCCCGAGCCCGGTGGCTGGAACGGGCTTTCGCTCGCCCGTCCTCTCCCTCCTTCCCCTCGTCGGCCTCCGGGCGGGCGGTAGGCTGCCTTCGCTGGCCTCCCTCGCTCCTCAGCCTCCTGGCTTGTCACTTTCTCGAAGCTCTGCTCCAGACCGCCCCATCCCGAGCCAAGGCAGCCCCGCCGCCTGGAAGGGGCCGGCCAGTCCGCCCTGATCGACTCTCCCGCGCCCCCTGCTGGACCAGCCGGGGCGCGCTTCTCTCTACCTGGAAGAGCAACGGCGCCTCTCAAAGCCAACCTCTCCGCTTAATTAGACGCGCCTCGAGTTTTATTTCGCGCGCATTGGAAACTATCCACCGGGCCGCAAAAAAAAAAAGAAAGAAAGAAAGAAAAAGCCAACGGGAGACGTTTCCTCCTCCTTTTCCTAATCTCCGTGGCTTGGAGACGGTGTTTTTTTTTTTTTTTTTAGAAATATCGATGGTGGCACTGTAGTTGCTGCGTTTTTTCTTTTATTAAAAAAAGAAGAAGAAAAATAAAACTATGGCGGTTGGCATAAGGATTAGTTTCAGCGGGAGAGGGATGAAGAAAGAGATGCTAAGGGAAAACCCACAGTGAAAAAGCGACCCTGTTGCCAGCTTGAGCAAAAGCTGTTTACAGGCTTGGTGAATGGTGGATTTCTGCCAGTGGCTTTTTTTCCCACTCCTGAGCCCATTTGTGGAAGGGGGGAGGGTTGTTAAGTGATGGCTTGATTTTAAATATTATGTTTAGCTAAATAGCACACAATAACAACGTGGAAAAAGCCATTTCAAAAGAATTAACAAGATTAGCCTATTGGAAAAGACCGAAGCATAAATCTTGAAATAAAATGTTCCACATTACAGAAAGGCAAAAATAATGTCACACTTTATATTTAAAACCAGGAGAAGTTGGTGAAGGATAGATTATTGCTTGGTTTCATTTCCATTAAAATGCAGGGAAAAAAACCTGCCTGGAATATTTCCATGGAAAGAGTGTTAGAAACCTGGAGCAGTTAAAATGTTTACAGGGCCTGAGTTTTACTGTATTTATTTCAAATAAAAATTTGCATTTGTAGACAAAGCCCTTGGAAGGTGACTATGTTATTCTAAAGTAGCCTGCTTTACATAATTCTATCATGGTTTGTTGGACTTTGTATACATCTAATGTATTCCATATTTCCAAGATATTATAACTAGATCTCAGATACAATTACAGTGAAAATACATCCTTTATTATAGAAAGCTGTCATTTAGACAGTTTTACTTTTGTCTTTTAATTTGGTATTTAATGCAGAGTTTTTTACATTCATGTGAAAAATATAGTAATTTATTTTAAAAAATTACACGCAAATACTGTTTTATTTTAGATATTTTTATTAGAATATGCATTTTTGGAAAGCTTTTCTTAGTTTTCTTCCTGAAATTTCCATTGTAAGGTAAAGTTATAAACATAAACAATTATTATTATTTTTTATCCCGATGAACCTCTTTCAATTTGTCCCTTTTTCAAGTTGTCCTTTATTTTTCCCTAGAAACTTTGGTCATTGTCAATTTAATACTATATTTTACTGATAGGGCAGAAAATCTACATCACAAGGATTAATGTAAACATTTACTTAATTTGAGGCTGACTTTGGCCTCCTTTCAAATTCTACTCCATTTGCAAAATCCTCCTACTTTGCAGATGGATTTGTGAATTATTAAAGGCTCTGTCCTTTATGCTTGTGTGTTGTGGCATTGCATGCATGTACAGATGGGCTGACTTGCATCAAGGCAGCACAATGGTCCTTTCATTGTTTCAATGAAAACCTTCAATCTGTGAGCACCCAACTCAGATATTTAGAGTATGGTTTCTAAGGGGAAAAACACAAACTAGATGAAAGGATTCAAGTGGAAATCAGAAACACATCAGAAATATTTGAATGATCAATTGAGGGTAAGAATATACAGGTAGTTCTCACTTACTGACTTATTGGGACCAATGGATATAAAGTGAAATGTTTCATGACTGCACTGGACTGTTGCTGTGGTCATTAAGTGAATCAATATGAGCGAGATGCAAATTACCGCAACTTGCAACTACCTCCTGCTTCCCCATTGACTGCTTGCGAGAAACAGGCTCTGAAGGTTGCAAATGGTGATCATGTGACTATGGGACATAATGACTATTGTAAAGGAGCTCCAGCTGTGAAGCACCTAAATCACAATCACATAACCATGGGATGCTGCAATGGACACAGATTCAAGGACCAGTTATAAACATACTTTTTCAGTGCCATTATAACTTCAAACAGTTGCTAAACGAGGCAGTTCCTAAGCGAGGACTACCTGTTATTTGTAATCATGTTGTTTCCTAATATTGTATAGTAGTGTTTTTATTTATTTATTCTTTTGCATATCAATAGCCACTTTTTCTTTTTTCCTATGTGATTATTTGTATTTAATTTCGAAATCATAATAAAAATGGAAATGGGAAAAAACATCCTAGGAATATCCATGTCACTTTCTTAGCTGTTATATTCAGTTTAAGTTTAATAAATACAGCTTTTTAGATTTATTCGCCTTTATCAGTTTGGAAGCACATGCATAAGGTTGATGTCTAAAAACATTTCTGCCACTGGATGAGTTAACTAAAACCTGAGTGAGGGGCAAGAAATTATTAACTTTTAAGGTCTAATTTGCACAGATACCTTCCTGAGGACTGAAGCAGGTAAATTTATGAATTATGTAATTAAACAAAACAAGATTGGTGAAATTATGGATGCACCTACTGCCATGAGCTTGGTTAAGAATGATAAATACACAATTTGGTGCTACTTTTATAATCATTTTCTTTCAGTTACCATTTTTTAAAAAAAACAACTATGAAAATAGATATCAATTAGTTAAATTCAATTAAGAACTCCAGCCTTGATGACAACTTTGTTGGAAAAATGTGTATAAAACCAGTACGTGAAATTCACCAGATCTGTTTGTGAGTAGAAATAAAATAATTTATAGTAATAAAACATAAAAATATTATTTTTAGCTCCCCATCTGTCCAACTGCCCACAATTAGCAAACACAATTTCTTCCTGGCCCAGAGACTGCTCTGCAGAGCACATCAATGAAAGTTAAAACACATGCTCAGAGAATGCATCTGCTTTTAATCTGCAGCATTCTGAAGTCAACACAAATATTTTTGCTATTTTCCCTTTAACTTGCAACAGTTGCAAAGACTGTGGTGTGCTAAAATGGAAGAACTGAAAATAACAGACACTCAAAAATTAGGAAAAAGAAGCAAAACTAATGCCTTAGTTTTAAAAAATTAAAATATGTATTTTTAAAGAAGATTAATTTAACTCAGTAACGATGAATAATAACCAAGATTAAGGCAAAGGTAGACCCCAAGTGGGTAATGAGATTTTGACTGGATTCTCTTTCTCTTGTGTTGATGTGATAAAACTCTCTGAAACTATGTCTAGTTGAGCATTTCAACATGTGAAATAAAAGCAATAGTAATAATGTCTTGATGCCAATACTAAATTTGCATGCATTATAGAAAACTCCTTAATTAATGTAAAGTTAACTATGAAGCATACTCCCAGCAATAATTCGTTACAGCAGATATAAAGATACCAAAGCAAAATGTTGGAATTAGGTTTAGATCCAGGGCACGTTTTTGGGGGTTGCATGGTTTCTGGTACCCAACCACATTGCATGACTACTTATATTTTCCTTCCAAAATATGCGGCCCACTTCATATTTTCCAATTATACCAATAAATGCTATATTGTACTGACACATTTTGAACATATGAAAACCCTGGTCGACATTCTCCATTAAGTACTCTTTAGGATAAAATAGAAGGAAAAAGAAAAACCATGGATACATTGTGAAGCAACAAAATTGAGCATTTTTAAAAAGTGGTCCCTTGGTTCTGTCCTTTTCCTCATGGCGAATATTCATCTATACCCGAGATGGCGAACCTATGGCACATGTGCTGGAGGTGGCACGCAGCGCCCTCTCTGATGGCACGTGAGACATCGCCCCAGTTCAGCTCTGATGCAGATGTGCGCGCGCCTCCCGTTGGCCAGCTGGTCTTTGGGTCTCTGCCTAGCATGTGTGGGGGGGCGGGGTGTGTGCGGGGAGTGTGCATGCAGGTGCAGGGGAGGAGGGGCATGCAGGGGGATGTGCACGCATCCATGGGGGATGGGGTGCATGCGCGGGGACTGCACACACATTGCATTTTGGGGCTTCAGGCACACATGCTTTTGAACATTCGGTCTGGAAAAGGTTAGCTATCACTGATCTATACTTTTTTTTTAATGTAAATTTATTCCAACTACCTACATATTTATCACTCAGTGCTTCATAATGCCATTCATGAGTAATGGGGGTTAAACCTCATCTTCTTGTACTTCTCTTTAGTACTGTAACATTTACAACCTTTGTAGTATCTTTGTACACAATGGGGTTGGGATCACACAAATGATACTAATAAAGCAGTTTGCATAGTACCTACTCATGTCGTTTGTGTGATGACATCATGGTCCATGAAGCATTATACTGGCTTGTAATAAATGCCCATGAGTTCTGTTATTTTGATTGTTGATTTGTCTAAAATCAACTGTTCACCTACATTTTCCTTTTTTCTTTGATGAAGTCTATTGTGCATTTGTCCTTAATATATGAAGCCTATTTATGACATTTAGTAGTCTTGAGTAACGCTATAAAAATTGATCATTCTATAAGAGTTTGGCTGATCCAAGGTCACCAAAAGCCTAAAATGTACAAACATGTATTTTAATCCTTGGGTAGAATCCACAATATTTATCCTATACATGAATAAAACACATCTCAGGGAATACTATTCTTTCTACAGAGGCTTTCAGAGAGAATTATTTAAGTACTTAGCAGTGACTTTGTATGGGAAAATCTAATTGTGTTTATTAGAAGTGTAATCATTTTAATGTTGTAAACCACCCAGAGTTGCCTATGACGAGGTGAATGACAAATAAATTTAATCAATAAAATAAATAAATAATAAACCATAGAGTTCTCTCTTTCACCTACAGCCAAGAAATATCTAAAATGAAAAGTACAAAAGAAATGAAGTTATATTAGTATAATCTATAATATTTCTATTTAATTTCTTG